TATTACTGTGCTTCTGGGTATCCTGGCTCCAGTGTGTAAAAATAAGACTTATAAAATCCAAACATTATTTGTGAAAATGCAAAAACATTTTCATTAATACAGGGTGTGATAAAAAGCAAAAGGCACTTTCCATCTGTGGCTAAGTAGTCTTTCTCCACTCGGGTCTTTTTATTTTCATAATCACTTTGCACTGATTTAAATATTGCCCTTTCAGTAGTGAATTTTAAAGGGAGGAAGCTTTGGTGTGTGAATAACTTTACAACTACCCACAGTATTTCTCTCCAGTTGCTATGACTTAAGTTGATAATGGACCCCACACAGTAGTCACTAATGTATGATAATCTAAGAGTGTTTTTGTTATTGTTTTTATTTTAGAGGAAAGGTTTGAAATTAGCATAGTAAATCTCTGTGGGATCTTTGCAAATAAAAGAATGTTCACGTTAAAAACAACTTTCAAGAAAGATGTATGGTAATGAATAAAACATCAGTGAGTGAAAATAAGCGTGTTTAATTATTCAAGTAGAAGTAGTAATTTAAACTAATTATTGCTTGCGGATTTCATAATTCAGTTTTTGTCTCACAATAATATTTCCTGTGGGCCTCCGGGGCACGTCGGCGGCTGCTCGCTGTTCCTGGGGCGGGAGAGACCTCCCCCTCCCTGTGGCTGCAGCCTCTGCTCCACCGAGCCAGAGCCAGAGAGGCCCAGTTTCTGCTTCCACCGGCCTCCTCGTGGCCTCAGTCCACATTGATCCTCCTTGCATTGCCTCATCAGGCATTTCCTTGCTTATCACCTTCTCTTGTTAATTCACGCATCTCAGACCAGTTCTGTCCACTGAGGTCTGAGTGTCGGGGGGGCTGGTCCCCTGCCTCCTCCCCTGTGTCTTAGACTTCCCTGGCAGGGGTGGCCCTGAGCACCTTGCCCATGTGCCCAGGAGGCAAGTCCTTGCCATTCAGGGCTGCCTTAGGTTGGGTCCCCTCCAGGAGGCTCCCTGGCCTGGGGATTGATCATTTCTTCCTTCCCAGCGCTTTGTACCAGCAGGTTCTGGTGGTAGTAAGAGAATTACAGAGAGAATTTGTTGGTTGACATTTTTCTTTTTTTGGGCTTCTTTTTAGTTTGTTTCTGATCCTAAAGGAAGAAAAACATGTTCATACAGAGGAATGGAAAAGTACCAGAGAGTCTGAGAGGCAGTAGGGAGGACAATTCATCCGCTGGAACTTGCACCTGGCTTCTCTCCTCCTGGGTGGCTCTGCATGTGTCTTAGTTCTGCTTATTCTCTGTATGCAGGCACTTGCCATTTTCTCTGTGGAATTCGAGGGCTTGGATGTCATTTTTAGCATGGACACCTGGGAGGGGCTCAGTTACATTCTCCTTGGTGCACCTCCTGGGGTACAACAGGCGTTAGTAGGTGCTGATGAAGGAGTAGGAAGTGCTGAAAAGCACTTTTGCTCAATCGTGCGAGGCTTTTAAAACCCAGTTATTACTGCTACTCCCATGAATGCCCATAATGGCACAGGAGGTTTTCTGAATCTTTCTTTATTGCACAAATGCTCCTGGAACAGATCTTGACAATTCAGGTGAATTATTATTCTACCCCTCAGAAGGTAAAGGGAAAGCTTTCTATTTGTAACTTTTTCTTCCCAAGTGTCCACTGTCAAAAGGTAGTGACATCTTCTCTCCTGATATGTGACAGCCATTATTACCTGGCTATAATCATGCACCATTCCGTCTCACACCCGAAAGCTTTCCATCCAGCACGTCAGAGGGACAATCTTTATTTAAGACATCCTCCCCCACTTTTCTTTGTTATTACTTCCTCCAAAAAACAAAAAAACAAAAAAACAAAACACCAAAAAAACACAAAAAATCCCCTTGGCTTTAAAAGCATGATCTGGGCTAGGAGTGACTCATTCCTTTGCAAGGTTATTGACGTAAGCAGGGACAAGACAGGTGGGACACGGGGGTGGACAGAGTGATGTGCTGTCAGCCAGGGGCCAGGGGGCCACATGGGGTTCTGCTGTTTACCAACTGAGCCCTCGGCAGGCCAGGCAATCTCTGGGTGTTGGTTTCCTCTTTTGGCAAACATAGAGGCTCAACTGTGTTCTCTGAGACCCTTTTAAGCTGAGTAGTTTTGTGATCTCCAAACTAACTGTAGCTAAATGAGGTAATGAGAGAATTACAGGTGTCCCCCGAACTCTTCCTGCAGGGTAGTTGAAATGAGCATTCATGATTCTGAATCGGTTTTCTCTCCCTGTGAGCTCCAGAGGAAGTCACTAAGCAGAGAAGAAGTTACTAACACCTCCTGACCACCATGGAGCAGAGCCAGGGGCATGAAATAAAATGCCATAGGGATGAGACCCGTGCAGCCAGCCAGCACTGAAGAAGATCTGCTAGGAGGACACCCTTAGGTTGTGAAGGGTCCAGCCCTCTCTGAGGGGTTGACAGCTGAGCTTCATTACGTTCTTGACCCTGTCCTGCCGACCTCAGGGCTTCTGTATCAGCAGTGCCCAACAAATGGTTGTTGGGGTGAATGAAATTTTCTCTTACGGATAGTGTCCTATCCTTTCTACCAAGCAGGCTTCCTCTCAGGGAAGAGACCATTCTTTTTTATTTCTTTGAAAACTGATTTTTTTAAGAATAGAAATACAAATTGGTATTTGATGTACAGAGAAAACTGAGTCGTTTTCCCATGCTCTGGATCTGGAGAGGCCGTATGTGGCTCGTCTCTGGATCCTAGGGAGCATCAGCCTTGCTGTGGGAAGCAAAGCGGGCCGGGGCTGCATTGAATTAGAATGACCTGGCTGCCTTTCCAACCAAAGCACATATGGCCAAATGTTGGGGGAGTGAATTGGAGGCAAAAGCCTTTGGAATTATTGGGATTGTTGGGACTCCTGGGAAGGAACTGGGCAGACTTGTGTTTGAGCCGTGGCTCTTTCTACCCTAGGTCTGGGGGAGGTCCTCTGCTTCTCCCCCACTGTTTCTTGTAAAGTGGGGCTGGCATGCTTAGCCTGCAGGGCTGTTGTGCATGGTCAGTAAGATAGCGGCCTTGAGTGGTGCCCAGAGCTTAGCACAGAGACAGCAATTCTGGTTCCTTTGAAGATGGAAAATGAATATGTATCATTTTGCAATGATAATGTAAAATCAATGTGGAGGTGTGATTCCGTTAATAGATTGCTGATGAACTCAACTTTTTAGGAGCCCGTTTGTTGCTTAGAGTGAAGCTGGCTGGAATGAGGCAGAATTAGAATGGCAGGCCCACTCTTCTAATTGAAACGCACATGAAGTGCTTGGCCCTCAGACTTCCATCGAGATGATTGCAGTGATCAATATTCCAGTTTGCTTGGCTGGCAGCTTCCGGGGAATAAGAGTGGATGGTGGACCCAGGGAAAGTACTGCCAAACAGAGCATTAAGTTAATTCCTGTTTGCCTGGGTTCTGGCCTGCCTGATGAAGTGCCTTGAGTAGAATGAGGCCATGTTGGTGCGGACTTTATCGTGGGCTCTACCCAGTATCACAGGAACTCAAGGTGGCTGCTCCCTGACATTCACTTTTGGTAGCAATTAGAACTCCCACTTGCTGAGATTCTACCATGTGTCCAGCCCGGTGCTGGGCCCCCTACACACATGATTGGTCCCCTGAAACCTCTGAGGTGCCGATGGCATGCCCCAACCTGCGTCCGAGGACCTGGGGCTGAGAGGGCCTCAGGGCGCGGTGCTGCAAGGTGGCAGAGTTGGGAATGGAGTCCAGGGCTGTTTGCTCCCTACGTCTACATTCATTCCACTCTCCCATGCCAACCTGTAAGTGTAAAGCAGATGTTTGCAACCTGGGTTCTCATTTTCCTGTAGAATCAGTGTTACTCATGGCAGTGAGGGCCTGGTCCCAAAAGCTGGGTTTACCACTGACAGTGTCATTTCTCATGTGGTTTTCACTTGGGCCTTACCACCATGGGAGGCAGAGCGCACACCCCTCTGGTGTTCCGGGTGGGAAACAGCGGCCCCTACCTGTGGTCTGCGTGGGCCAGGAGGGTCAGCAAGGCCCTTGGGGGAAGTGCAAATGCATCCTTATCTCTGTAGTGCTTCCTCTCAGGCATAGGGTCCGCTGGAGGCCTGGCGTTCCCATGGGGCTCACTTCGTGTGCAAATGTTCTGTCCCAGTTCAGTCTGCTGACTGGGAGATGTTGACCTGACTCTGTTTCTCTAGGGCCATGATCCTGACTCTGAAAAGCCAAGTGTACACCCCTCGCTCCTCCTGCCTGCATTCTCCTTCTGTTAAACATGGGGGCACCCACCCCTCTCCCCTGCAGCTGTGGCCTCTGCTGGGCCCATCCCTCCTGTGATTGACATGGTTATTCCTTCCTCGTATCATTGTGTGAACTTGGCCCTGGTGTGTTTGGGCCCCTCCTCTTAACCCTCCTACCTTGCGTCCCCATGCTAGTTCTGTCTTTCCTGTGCTCACAGAATCTGTCTGTCCTCTTGCCTCCACCTCAGAGGCTTCTTCCAGTCTCACCCCCTCGTTCTCAGAAATGAATTTTTTTATCTGCGGAAGGTGGCAGCTGGCAGCCAAACGAGGAGCCTAAGTCTTGGGCAAAGCTTCAACAAGGACGCTGAGCTCAGAGGCCTAGGAATCCTCTCTCTGTCTCATCTTTTTTTTTTTTTTTTTTTTGAGATGGAGTTTTGCTCTTGTTGCCCAGGCTGGAGTGTAATGGTACGATCTCGGCTCACTGCAGCCTCTGCCTCCCGGGTTCAAAGGATTCTCCTGCCTCAGCCTCCCGAGTACCTGGGATTACAGGCATGCGCCACCACACCTAGCTAATTTTGTATTTTTAGTAGAGATGGGGTTTCTCCATGTAGGCCAGGCCAGTCTCCAGCTCCCGACCTCAGGTGATCCACCCGCTTCGGCCTCCCAAAGTGCTGGGATTACAGGCATGAGCCACCGCGCCCGGCCTCTCTGCCCCATCTTATAGGCACCCTGGGGCCTAAGGATGGGGCTGGGGTGCAGGGGATGGGGAGGGAGGCTGTGCCCCCTGGAGGATTGATCAGTAACTCTTATAGTTCTTCACTATAATCTCATTTTGGGCTGCATTCTGCTTTTGTTTTCATTTGGGAGCCCTGCTTGGAGGCCAGCACTAACAGAAACATGCAAGGGCAGAAGCAGAGCTGGCCGTCGGGAGGTGGGGTAGCCTGCAGGGCCTAGCTCTGTGGTGTGTGGATTGGTGTGGCAGTTGCCCTTCCTGGCAGCAGCTCTTAGTGATTAGGCTGGGAGGAGCCTTGGCGGAGCCTTGGCTTTAGGTTTTCTTTGGGGAAGGGTGGATATTAGTGCTTAAGAAATGCCACTCCCAAGGAAACCCACCTGGATGTTTTTCTCTGTTACTGGCCATTTGGAGGCAGGGCCAGGCTGTGCATAGGCTTTTGAGTTTCTCAGGTGCTTACATGGGTCTCAAAATGATGATGCAATCAATCTGTTTCTTGCTTGTGGGCCTGGGTCCAGCTCAGAATGGAGATGTGCTCCATGGGCTTGCCTTCAGAGAAGATAGTTAGCAGGGTTGTGGGAAGGAATGTGTGGTGGACAGAGGTACAGGCTCCCCAAGGCTTAGAGGCTTCAGAAGCCCATGTCAGGCATGTGGGGCCCAGGTTCAAAGCAGGGGATGGAGAAGGGAGGGTTAAAGCCTTCCTTCTGACATTGATATGTGTGTCCCAGCCCTGGGACCTGGAGCAGTTGGCTTCGCGGGCCCGTTGGACTGTTGAATATTGATGGTGTGGGTTTGGCTGAGGAGCACAGGCAGGTGTGTTTGCCATTCTTGTGTACTCAGGACGGGTATGAAGGGCAAGTCAGTGGCACAATTCGAGTAGTCAAAGTGCTGCTGTTACCTGAGCATTTGCTGTGCGCCAGATCTTCACATGGACAGCGTCAGTTTTCATGGGAGTCACTTTTAGGCATTTTATCTCCATTTTGCAGTTGAAGCAGTTGATACTTAAGATGGTGGTGTCTTTGTTCAGTGTGAAGAGCCAGGAATTGAGTGGGGAATGCCCTTATGGCAGCAGGACAGTGGCACCAGGTCCCTCCTAGGTGGCTTGTCCAAGGATCAGAGTCTAAGGCTACATTGCTACCAAGTAGCAGAGCTGGAATCAGCGCTACTCAGCCTCACACGTTTTACTCCCTGTGCCTCTTGAGAGCTTTGGCCTGTCACATGTGTGCAGCTGTAGGAGCCCAGATTGTGAGTTGGTCAAGGTCAGGGCCACACCCTGCACTTCCTGCCTTACACAGAGTAGGTGCTGGACAGACCGTTTGTGTTGTGAAAGAGTGAGTGAGTGAATGAAAGATACACCATGGGGATAGAAAAGTAAGGGGCAGGCCCCAGGGCAGTTGGCAGATGTGAAATGTGGTTTAAAGACTTGGCAGTAAATCTGTGGCTAGGCCCCCCTTCTCCTTTTGTTCCCTTCTTCCTTCCTTCTTGGGATTCAGAAGTGCTCTCTGGTCAGAGGGCTGTGGAGCAGGAGCAAAGCTGCAGGTGTGAGAAGGACCCTGCCATGCCAGGGCAGCTTCAAGGAGCTGGTTTGCATGGAGTCAGCAAGAGGGTGGCAGCAGTTTTGGGATGGAATGAGTTGAGCCTGAAGACAAAGGTCGTTGAAGTCCTTCCAGGAGAAGAAGATCAATGCCTGGGCTGAGCCTGCAGTTAACATCTTAATAGTAACCGGAGAGTTTCTGAGAGATTAGGTGATGATATATACTCAGAGCTCAGACAGTTAATTTGCATTGTGTCCTATATTCCTGAAAAGTTGCTTTCAGATTCTTATTGATGTGCTCACATTTTTTGGGGTAATTGTCCTCCTTTGACATTAATAACCCCCCTGTTTACTCTCAGGCTCACATACCTCTCAGAGTCCAGGAGACAGTGAGGGAAAGCTTTTAATTCAAAGCCCTATCCATCTTCCCAACTCAGGTGAGACGGGGACTAGAAAGTTGGTCTGGCTGAAGCTAAGCAAGGCCAGCCTTCCGGGTGTTGGGTGTCAGGTTCTGGAGGGGGCTGGCAGTCATGGGTGGGGCTCATGGATGGTTTTAGGCTCTTCTGCCCCCTTCTTCAGTGTGCCCTTGTGGGAAGCCAGTGCATTTCCAGGGGAGCTGCTGGAGGCTGCTTATGGCATGCAGATCAAGGAAGACCCGAGGACCACATGCACCCTGGGCGCTCTGGGTATGTTGTTTCTGCAGGTTTTGGAAGCAGCTGTCCCCCAAAGCATACAATTATTAAGAGCAAGGACCACAGTTTCACACTTCAGTACCCAAACAGGCCCTGACACCCAGTTTGGCTAGGTTGAGTCTGGGTGCCAGAGATGAGAGCTGGGATTGGAGATGTGGCCCGTCCCCGCTCAGGAGCTGGGGGTGCTGAGTATGCTGGGCTCCCAGACACATATGTCACGGTGAGCTGTGAGAATGACCCTTGACTCTGATCCTGATGGGAGTGGGAGAGGGTGCAAGAGCTGGTTCTTGGGACAGGGGAGGGTTTGTGAGAGCAAGAGCACAAGTGCCTGCATACCAGGCACTGGGGGTAGGGGTTGGGGTAGAGAGTGTGGTGATGGTAACAACCTATAGTCATGGGGCTTGGGGCCTTCTGAGGGATGTGGGTAAATCTGGAGTTTTTCCTATAGGAACGGGGAGCCATGGAATGTTCGTGAACTGGTGTATAAAATTGAAGAGAGAAACCCTAGGGAGACCTCATCTGACACTCCTGTGATAATCTAGGCCTCAGGATTGGCAGATTGGGATGCTTGTGTTACCCCTAACTTTAGATTGCTCTGCTACTACCCCCCTCCATCACTGTAGATTCCCACGATTTGAGAATCAATGTAAGTACGATTTAGGGGCTTAGAAACTCCTGTATTTATTGAGAATCCACTTAATTTACATGTACTGAGTTTCAACATTGCACAACTCTGTGTGGAGGGGTCAGGGTGGAGGAGACCTGAGATGACAGAAGGCCATGTTCTCTAGGGATGGTCTGTAGCCCTTAGTGCTCTTTTCCCTCCAGTGCCCCCTCCGTTCCCCCCTCCAATCCTTGCTCCCCCCAGTCTCTGTAGCTGAAGGCCAAGGCAAACTGTGGGGTTGTGAATATTTACGCAGGCCAGCATAGAGCTCAGTGACGCAGCTGAGAGCCACGCAAGTGTTTGGTGACTCATCAGACCTTCTCCAAACACTTGTGATATTTTTCTCCTCTGAAGGGCCGAAAGCAATTAGCACTTAACGATAGTATATGACGCCAGAAGAGTACGCAAACCTTCCGGCTCATCTTTTCTGTGCCTTTTGGGTGTTTTGTTTTTTGAAAAACTTATGTGAATTATTTTCCCTTTTGTAATGTTTATTTTATTCTGATTATTAAAATAATGTATGCTCATTGTAGAAAATACATAAATGCATTAAATGGGAAATAAAATGCATGAATTATTTTTCCATTACAATCTTATTAGGAATGTTTTGCTTGGGCAAAGGAGATTTGGAGCGCTAGACTTATTTTATTTGAGGCGCTTGTCGAGATAACTGAGATCAGTGGGTTGCAGCCTGTGCTTTGGGGACTCCAAGGGCTTCACAGAAATTTCTAGAGGCTGCCTCCAGGGTGGGGGATTTGGGGAGCTTAGGACCCACCCCCAGGTTCCTCCCTCCAAACAGCTCTGCCGTTTTCTGTCTCACAACTGGGCTTTTTCACATGGCTGCCTCTGAGAGAATGACTCCAGGGCTTATCAAATTGGAGACCCAGTAATCTGGCTCCAGCCTCTCATTTTACAGGTGAGGAGTTGGAGGCCACTGGTTACGTGTGTCTGGTGCAAGGTGATGTGGTAGCTTAGGGCTAGTCTTCATGCTTTCTAGGCCTGCATTGCCTTTTAGTGTATGAATCAGTTAGAAATATTGGCATTTTAACTTCAATGCCATTGTCACAAGCTATGTCACCATGCAGAGGACCCCTCCACCCACCCCAGGAAGCTCATCAAGGGTCTCTAAAGGGCTCTCTTTTGAGGAAAGGGGACACTGCAGAGCGACTGGCTCTTGAAAAGATGAGAAGTAAAAGCCCCATCATTGCTGTTAGGTGCACAAAGGAGGAGAAATTGCTCTGGGTGATCCCTGGTTATATGAATAATGAGAAGAAATTAAGTAGAGGCTGTGTTTCCTGACACTGATGTATTAGAACATGGAGTAACTTTCTACAGGAAATTGGAACAGGGATCCCTTTAAATTGAATTTGAAGCTGTGAATAGCAAACCTGCATTTGGCCCTGTGTGTCCTAATGCAAGTTAAGTAAGCAGTTTCCTGGGTAAGAGTTAAGTACTTTAGGGATATGGGTTAATGTTGAGGCCAATGTGGCTCAAGTTAATAAATTGCCTCTCGCGTGTATTGTCTGTGAAGATGCAGAAGAGTAATTTGCTTCCTGCGGAGCTGCTCCAGAATTCTCATACTTAGTTTATTAGATTTTTGGCCCAATACATTTGTTCCCTCTCATTGGTTTTGTTGATAATAATTACTCACCCCCTTCCATGTCTCCACGGATTTCTCTTGGTTTTAATTGTTTTCAGTAGCCACAAAAGTTTACCATTTCAGAAAATAAGTGTTTTAAAATAAGAATACTCTGGGCCAAAGCCCATCGGAGTTTCCAGAGGGAGATAGTCAAAGCTCTATTGCTAAAGTGATTCTGGGGGCAGTGGCCACTGAGATTAGGAAAAAGCCAGAGCTCCCTTCGTCAAAACACGTCAGTGCTGGTCCCTGGCCTAGGGAGCTCTCTGGGAACTGGCTTCCTTAAGTTTACATATGCTCTGGAATCTGGAGTGAGGGTGTATGCGGCAAGGGCCTCTCAGGGAGACGGTGGAGGACACAGAGGACTGGCCTCCCTATGCTGCTGGTGTTTGGTTCTTGACCCTGTGGGCCCAGGGGGTGGAGAGAACATTGAGAATTGTACCCACCACTAGGCACCATGTGAGGGGCCAGCAATACCTAGCTCACAGTCTAATAAATCAGTTAATTAACAGGGTAATTACAAGTTGCAAAGTAGTATTTCCTGGGAAATAGAGAAACATGGCTGGGTGGGTAGGGGAGAAGACAGCATGCAAGCTGAGGTTGGAAGCCTGAGGAAGACATGGGTCTGTCCTTCCTCAGGGAACAGCCAGTGCAGAGGCTGAGAAGAGCTTGGTGTGGCAGGAGGTAGAATGCAAGGCAAGATTTGTCTTCAGATTATTCCTTATAAAGAGAGTGTTCGCTTTATACTTGGGCCTTTAAGAACTTTCTTAAACTACAGGACGCTTACTTTTGGATGTGAAGTTTTAGCAGATTTTTTTTTTTTTTTTTTTTTTGAGACACAGTCTCACGCTGTCGCCCACACTGGAGTGCAGTGGTGCAATCATGGCTCACTGCAGTCGCTATCTCCTGGGCTCAAGCGATCCTCCTACCTTAGCCTCCTGAGTAGCTGGGACTACAGGTGTGCACCACCATGCCTGGCTAATGTTTGTATTTTTGGTAGCAATGGAGTCTTGCCATGTTGCCCAGGCTGGTGTGGAACTCCTGAGCTGAAGCAATCTGCCCGCCTCAGCCTCCCAAAGTACTGGGATTATAGGTGTGAGCCACCCTGCCTGGCAAAGCAGATCTTTTGATACTTTGTCCAGAAAGTAATTTGTTTCAAATATTTACCCATCACATGTTTAAATAGTCTCTGGTAAGCCATTTAATGGTAGATGCATTCCTGAAGGCCATGTCGCTTTGTGCTAGGCTCAGACCCCAGCTTCCTAGCTCTGTGCTGCTGGGCAAGCAACCCCAAGGTGCCTCTGTTTCCCCATGTGTGAAATAGAGAAAATAGCACAGAGGGTCTCATGCTCTTGGGTCGCAATTCCCTCAGTGCCACTGTAACGTTTTTCACAGTACTCCTAGGCCAAATCAAACAACTTAATTAACAGTCCTGTTTACTAAGGAGTGAGGACCAAACAGCTTAAATACTTACGTTGTAACAACACCTGTTGGTTCGCACACATTGAAAGTAGGTTGGATGCTGCCACCCTCATGGCCTGTTCCACATTGATTTTCACTTTTTTTCCCCTTGAGATAGAGTCTTGCTCTGTCACTCAGGCTGGAATGCAATGGTGCAGTCTTGGCTCCCCGCAACCGCTGCCTCCCAGGTTCAAGCCATTCTCCTACCTCAGCCTCCCGAGTAGCTGGGACTACAGGTGCTCACCACCACACCCAGCGAATTTTTGTATTTTTAGTAGAGACAGGGTTTCACCATGTTGGCCAGGCTGGTCTCAAATTCCTGACCTCAGGTGATCCACCCGCCTTGGCCTCCCAGAGTGTTGGGATTATAGGCATGAGCCACTGTGCCCTGCCTGATTTTTGCTTTTTATCACAGCACCTATTGAAAACCCAGCTTTGCAGAGATACGATGTCATCTAAAGCAATGCAAAGGATCCAATGTTGAATGTAATGTTGAAACCTCAGCTAGAGTCTGCATGTTGTCTAGCAGATATTGCTGTTGCCCTTAGAAGGGTAAAATATCCCAGCCTGGGCAACATGGTGAAACCCCATCTCTACAAAAAATAGAAAAAATTTGCCGGGTGTGGTTGTGGGCTCCCGTAGTCTCAGTTACTCAGGAGGCTGAGGTGGAAGGATTGCTTGAGTCCAGGAGTTCAAGGCTGCAGTGAGCTGTGATTGTGCCATTGCACTCCAGCCTGGGTGACAGAGTGAGACGCTGTCTCAAAAAAAAAAAAAAAAAAAAAAAAAAGAAAAAAAGGTAAAATATCCCGTGGTGCATTATTTGGGAACTGTGGTGATAGTATTGACCTGTTTAGTTTAGTGAAGATGAAAGGAAACAGTATTAGGTACTCAGGAATCATTGTTGCCCTCAATCTCCAGGGTTCCCTTTAGTAGACCTAGAAACGTGTCTAGGAGTGGTGAAAACACTGCTCTTGAAGATGTCTAGGGAGAGGTGCATTTAATTTCTTCATGAGAGGAAAGTGGAAAAATACAGTATTTCTGAGTTTCATACTAAGTGATTTTAAGTATGAGTGTGCATCTAAGTTAATAAATTAAACATAAATACAGACATTCAGTTATTTCTTCAACATCTCTACATGTATTTGTATTTAATTGTTTGTCTCTAACCTTTCTGTTGTGTTTTTAATCTTTTTGTTGGGAAAATGGGTAAAGTCTCTGTGGTTTGCCTTATAT